TGAGGAAGGGAAAAGTTGTTGAACCAGGAGGAGGTAGACCAGATCTGGCTCGCTGTAGATCCAGCCCTCTCTAAAACCTCATGAACAGGGTCGGATAGGGAGATCCGCTCGACCTGACCCGTAATGTGGTCGGTATGGGTCTCACCAGCATTCGAGGATTCCCCCCGAACGGAGTCGAAATGCTGGGAAAATTGGTGCAGTTGGTCAGAACCGAACCGATCATCAAGCAGCATGGCCTCTAGTTGATCCTGGTGGACCTGCTGAATTGGCTGAGGTTCTGGGAGCGGTTGGGAAGGGGCAGCCTCCTGAGCGGGAACAATGGTGGGAGTAGGTTGGGGGTTCTTCCGGGATTTTTTCCGCTTTCCGCCCCCACCGGCTGCGATGACTCTGCTATCATCCATGGGAAGATCTGGATTGGGTGCTGAAAAAAGGCAAAGAACAATGTTAGTATCGAGCGGCCCTAGCGTGTGAGAAACTAGAAAAAAGAATAAAAGAACGTTTCTCGCACGGGAAGGACCGCCCGGACCAAGGCACTTGGTTTATCAAAACAAGTAAACCCAAGAGAACGGGCAGTACCTATCCCGGCTGTTATAAGTCGTTCGGGGGTCAGATAATTCATGATGTCCATGCATTTATCCTTCTCCACAGCAAGCACGTCCTTGTAGATTTCTTCAGTGAGGACAGGATCAGGGGTTTTGCGGGGAAAAGCATTCCACTTGCGGGGAATCAGACCGTCCGGGATGGACACGAAGAAAAACCGGTCTTTCCACCCTTTGATCGAAGTTGGGTTTCCTTTGAACAGGATGTGTCCCGTTCGGGCACTAGTGGCCAGATAGCCATGGGTTTGTTGGGGGGCTACTTTGAAAAATTGGTGGAAGAGTTCTAGGGTTGGTCGGGCGCCGGCATCTTTGCAACGACAAATGAAACCCGCCATTGCTCGATAAGAATTCGGCATAATCTGGGCCGGTACAATTTCGTAGAAATTGAAGAAAGAAATGAAGAAAGGGTGTAGCGGAAATCTAAGGTCGGCCCTAATTGAGTCAAAGTAGACTATGGTCATTCCGGGCCTATGACGCATTGGATGAAGCCCGGCTTGCAAACGGAAATCCACCGGGTCAGGGATAAGGGCCGGAATTTCGGCCCTATTGTGAGAGGTCAATTTTTGCCTCCTCTCCCTAATCAATTTTAGGTCAAGAGTATGGCGAGGAACATCGTTGGGACGTCCGGCCGCCATGGAGGCTATTTCGTCCTCGGATTTGGTATCATCAGAATCCTCACTGGAGGAAGAAGAAGTACTAAGGAGGTCCTCCGCCTCAGCCCTGGTATTCGTCGCCGTCTCGGTAGAAACACCGGCAAACGGAACTGGGATGGCATCTACGATGGCGGTGTCACGGTCATCTCCATGAGAGGCCATCTCCGAATCAGAAGAATGCTCTGTGGGGCTCATCTCGATCGAAGCCAGAAATGAAGATGGGGAATCCAATGTTGGGAAGTTACCTGAGCAAGGGAAGCAGGGGGAAATTTGCAGAGGAAACAACGAAGGCCAAGGAATTGCAGAGTCGAAACCCGGAATTGAGGGGTTAAGGGCTAATTTATAGCCTTGAAACCGCCGTGTCGAGAACCAATCAGAGAGCGACACATCACTAGGGGCATTTAAGCTAGACACGCGTCTAATGAAAAGACTAAACGACGGTTATCATGATGGATATGGGGAAATGAAGCGGGAGTCGTCAAATCGCAGCATGGGGAACTGATTACTTCTGTACCCCGATCGCCATTCGGGGTATTATGACATTGGTATACTTCCTGATGCACTCACTTCGTTCGAGACATCGGAAGTGGGGGACTTGTGTTGGGATATTGACCTAGAGGCCCAATACCCAGATCGGGAAGGCCCAAGATATCCGGCCCAAGTAACAGGCCCATCACTCCATGATGAAAGGATCCAGTAAGGAGGCATGCCGAACGAGGTTCGGCCCAAATAAAGGTTGGCCCAGTAACAAGACATACCGAACGAGGTTCGGGCTATATATCATACTTGGGCCAATTTGACAGCATCTTCAGTACAGCTCAACATCCCGTTCGAGCAACGGTCAACCAGCAAGTGGCCAGGTGCAGTTAATGCCAGACTGTGACATCAGCAAGTGGAAGCATGGATGACTAAGGCGGTGGAACAACGGCCAATCAACAAGAGGCAGCCCATGCTCTCCATTAGTATAAATAGAAGGTTTCAAGTCATTTGTAAGGGTTAGATTTTCGATACTCAAGCTCTAGAATAGCATCATTTGCTCTTATTTCTTGTATTAAAGCATAGTTTCCGACTTACCGATCGGGAAATCCTTTGTAATCAGATTGGTTAATTAATACAAGTGGGCTTTCGAGTTTTAGTTAGTTCAGATCTTATATTTTCTTATACACTTTGATTCTGGGCCATTCCTGATATATCCAAAGTTCGTGTTGGGCTTTCGGATCTGCGGGACTTACCCTCAACAACTAGTAAAACCTATTTCTCCAATTCATTAAGAAAAACAAAGACATGTCTCATTTATTTGATTTTGGAAAATCATTTGGTAAATACATTTTCCTGTTTTCTTTTCTCTAGCTAGTTTCTAGCAAAAAAATCGATAAACATGTTTTGTGTTTTCATTTTTCATATTTGGAAAATTTGAAAAGAATGTCTTTGTTTTTCATGTTCTGTAAATAAACAAGTAAACATGTTTTCCAATTTTCTTTTCACCAGTTTTCCAGTTTTATGAAAAAATAGAAAATATTCTAGTTAGTAAATGTGCCCTGAGTTGTCCAACTTAAGAAGAAAACGGGTAAACGTGTTTTCAATTTTCTTCTCTAGATTTTCAGTTTTCTGAAAAATTAAAAAATATTCATGTTAGTAAATAGAATGTTTCTGTGCCTGTTCGGTTCGGTTTTTGTGCTCACCTCTACTTAAATACGGAGTATCAAATTTTAAAATAGATAATTAGAAAAACAAAATAACACTCCCTCCGTCCCCAAATTAAGTTCCCACTTTTCATTTTGGACAGTCCCACAATTAAATTCACACTTCCCTACATTTCCTTATTTGGAAAATTATCTACATCAAAACAGTGCAAAACAGTGTCAAACAGTGCCAGACAGTGTTCAAACAGTGTCAAAACAGTAAAATTTACCGCTCAATAAATTTATTTTCTTTAATTCATCTAGTTTAGGAACTTAATTGGGAGACGGATAGAGTAGATAATTAGATATCTAATTATGTTGGCAAATTATACTGTCGGATCGGCCCACCATGCTCATGGTGTGCTGATCCCAGAAAACACTCAATCACTTGAATTTCTTTTGCTGACATGCATTGGCTGTGTGTCCATGTGTATTATCTTCGACATTGAAGGTGGTGCCAGATGTATTGCTTTATCTCTCACCTATTGCCAGTGACGATCATATTATTGTCCAATTATTGAAGGTGAGATTCCACCATCGTTATAGCTCTCGAAGAATGGTTCTTCTTCGGAAGCTCAAGTGGCAGCATCCATGGAAGCTCTTAAACAGTGGCGGACCCAGAAAGTCGGAGCCACGGGGTCCCTACCCTTTTATATCTATAATCGCTAATTAATATAAAACTAAGGTCGTTTAGAAAATGAAGTGACATAAATAACCGTTCATTTAGAAAATTAATAACCATTCATTTAGAAAAATAATATTTATGTCACAGATAGAAAAATAATATCCTATAACTATAGTATGTTTATTCCAATAATTTTCTAAACGAACGGTTATTTATGACACCTTAAAATAATAAATAGGGAAAATAACTTTAAATAATACAAACTATCTTCGATGAACCAATAATAATACACTTTAGAAATAGAGTCACTTTTTTAAAATGGAGTGTAGAACAAAAATAAAATGGAGTCACCTTTTTAAAAAAATCCACTAATTTAAGACATTAAAACTAATATCGAACAAATAAATAATATTCGGAAATACGCTTACTAACTTTATATTTTGATACCAGTTTTTTATGAATTACTCCGTAAATGACTAATGTTTTAGTAAAGAATTGCTATGTATTAGTGTTAGTACTATTATGTTGTTATCCCTTGTCAAAAAAGTTATTTTCCCTAATAAATAGTGGGAAAACAAAAAGTGATCCCTAAGGGAATCAATCCCTGCACCTCCAAGAAGTGGGTAATTTTAAATTCAAGCACGCTTCCATTGCTCAAATGGTAACTTCATGTTCTCAATTAGCTTTCGCCTTACATATACATTGTATTATTAATTTATATAAAATACGTATACTATATATAGGTATTTTTTTGAAAGTTCATGGGGTCCCGGGACCCGTGGGACCCTTGGTGGGTCCGCCACTGCTCTTAAAGGACAATTCTTAATTGTTTAAATGATGAAGAAAGGGTTCGAGCAATCATTGATCACCTTACGTTATATATATATATCATTTATACATTTTGACTTGACTCAAGTTGCATTTCATGTAACGTGATTTACATTTTTTTATTCGGGAGTTACATCATTTTATGGACGAGTTACATCATTTTATTCGCGAGTTACATTACAAAATAACATCTCCTATTGAAACATAGAAAGATTTTTTTAAACCATTTTTATGGCTCTGATATTAAAAGAAAAATAATTCACTATTTACATAAAGTAATCGAGTAATTAGACTTTTTTTCATTGTTTACATTGAAATCATTGTTTTATTTCTTAGGCATCATATTGGACAAATTACATTTCGACTGACCTACAATTACATTTTTTATCAACGTAAGTTACATTTCATTATATGTGAGTTACAGCCACAATATTACTGAGACCAAAAAAATTAAAAACTACTGTTCATGCGTGTTACTGTTCATGCATGTTACTGTTCACGCATGATTTTTTATTAAACGTTGTACAAAACTACATCGTTTTGAGAAGAGGAGCATGTCCTCACAGTATACGAAGTGAATTATGTCTACTTTAAAATTAAGAAACAAATGTTAGTTGCATTTAAACGCATTTATTTAGTAAAAAAAACGTAGTAGTAACGTAAAAAAGGATGATGGATGGCTTCCATGGCTCCCGGCCTCCCGCCGTCCGCCACGTCTCTCGCTTGATGCGCATTAGTCGGTGAATCCTCCATTTTCCCGCAGACAGTGTTGACCAGCGGGAGAGAAACAATGAAGGGAGGGAAGGAAGAAAACAAAGCAATTCCCTTTCCAGGCTTTCCTTCCAAGATTCACCCTCGCCGGCAGCGCAAAGATGAGCGTGATCGACATTCTCTTCCGAGTCGACGAGATTTGCAAGAAGTACGAGAAGTACGATGTCGAGAAGCAGCGTTCCACAAACGCATCCCCAGATGATGCCTTCGCTCGCCTCTACACGTCTTTCGATTCCCAAATTGACCTCGCTCTCCAAGTAATTACCTCTTCTGCTCCTGTTATTGATCAGAGATTTGTGAGAACTTGTTACAGCGATTTATAATGTTTCTTTTCTTTTTGAAGAAAGCGGAGATGGCGGCTAGGGAGACAAACAGGGCCGCTGCTGTGGCCATGAAGGCTGAGGTACGGCGACTGAAGGCCCGATTGCTGGAAGAAGTCCCAAAGTTGCAGAAACTTGCTCTTAAAAAGGTGGGGGTGTTTTTCGAAGTTTGTTTCTTCATGATGTTAATTCTTTATTTTCTTACATTTTTATCCTTTCGGTATTTTTATGTCTCACATTTTGAATTCGTGTAATTGTTTGACTTGTCAGATTTATATTCAATATACTTTATTCGAGATCTTTTCCATCATTTGCAATGGAGCCAAAGATTCATTATTTTTTGGCTTGAGATTACGATGGAATAAAGCAAAATGGCTCACTAAACTGTCTGCGCTTCTTTGTTATGGAGCAACAGTCAGTCCATGCAATTTTGGACGTGATTTTCACTATGGGTCATCCGAAAACAGTCTCTCCCTGCTTTAGTGCAGGGGTAAGACTGCATACATCCGACCCCCTTACCCCACCGTAGGTGGGAGCCTTTGCGGCACTGGGGTAAATGAAAATGAAAATGATACTTTATTCGAGATCGTGTGCATAATATGTATGTTTAGTCAGTTTATGTTTGTGTAATATGGTACATAGTATAAATTAATAGACCAACTTATAAGACTTTTTACTTCCCCTTATATAAGTTTGATATAGTGTTTTATTATGAAACTTCGAATCTTAATATGATATCCATATTAAACTCAAGCCATGAGCATATATGATAACAAGCATATAGAATTCAAAGATGGTTCTATTTCAATGAGTTTCCATTTTCATCAAGTAGGACATGTTCAATGAGTCAATGTAATGTCACCCTTCACTTGATCCCTAGAAGTTACGTAGTATAACAGAAGAGTATAACTCAATTTGGATCGCCAACAGGTTAAAGGCATCTCACAAGAAGAATTAGCTATACGTAATGACATTGTACTTGCACTACCTGAAAGGATCCAAGCAATACCTGATGGAACTAATGATACAAGTGCAGCCAAGTCTAGGGTTCGGGGGGGTTTATCGTCTTCTAAAATCATAACAATCGATTCGGGTAGGTGACACTTCCTTAAATGTTTCCCCAAACTTCATCTCTTGTAATGTTTGTTGTATGCTCTATGACTGTTTTGGAATTTATTTTGTACAGATGGGCCTGTTAGGAGTGTTAGCGATAGTTTCTTTCAGCAGTCTGAAGAATCCAGCCAGTTCAGGAATGAGTATGAGATGAGGAAAATCAAACAGGCTTGTAACTTCCCTCATCTTATTCCTCTGCAACATATGTTTTTGAATACTTCGATTTTGTAATATGAGATTATTTCAGCATCATAAAGCGACTAGTCAGACTACATATATCTGAATGAACTCTTGCAGGACCAAGGGTTGGATATTATTTCAGAAGGTTTGGACACTCTTAAGAATTTGGCTCATGATATGAATGAGGTTAATCTCCCTACTCCCTTTATTCTGCCCTTCCCTGCCCACTAAGAATCCGTTTGGAACACGAAAATGCTAGGAAAATTAATGACGGATTAAAATATAGGAGAAATCTGGAGGGAAAGAAAATCTTGAGGAAAGTAAAACATTGTTTCGAATTCATGTATTACTTATTTAATTTTATCATATAAATACTAAGCACAAGTATAAACATATGTAAAATTTATGAAAACATAAACTATATTTCATCCTCCTTTACATTTTCCGAGTTAAATCCAAATAATGAAATTTGTTTTCCTTAATATTTACTACTTATTTCATTTCCCTAGTATTTTCTACAATCCAAACGTAGCATAAGTGAGTTAAGACTTAAGAGTATGTTTTGATCGCATTATATGGTTTTGAAAGGAAATAAAATACTAAAAAAGTACTCTGTAGCTTTTGTAGGTTTGGTTTTAAGTTTTAACTTGGAAGATAATACTAAAGGAAATAAGACTTAAGTGAGTTAAGACTTAAGAGTATGTTTTGATCGCATTTTATATGATTAAATAAAATGATTTAATGATTTTATGAGTTTCCGCACTGACCCTAAAGCAAAAGAGAATAAGAGGAAAATGAAAGTATGTTGCTTTCTGGTTGAAGGAAAATGCAATCTTATTGTTTTGCGAATTTTTTTCTCAGGAATTGGATAGACAAGTTCCACTGGTTGATGAAATTGAAACCAAGGTTCTTCATTCTTTTCATATATGACTGTTGGATTAACTGCACTTTAATCAATTTGGGATTATTGTTACCATCCAATGCCCTTCTGGTGTCTTCATATGTAGGTGGACAAAGCAACATATGACTTAAAGAACACTAATGTTAGACTCAAGGAGACTATTACTAAGGTACATACCAATTAGGGTCTGATTGGTAATGGTTATTTTGCTAAATTGTGCTTAGCTTTTATGAAAAGGAAAAGCATGTGCCAATATCTATTTCAGCTAAATAAGTGTTAATGGAGAATAAACGAGAACTGGCTACATAACATATCTTACCTTATTTCTTCTTAAAATGCCGTGACAAGTTGGAGGCCCTTTTTCTTTAAGGCTTTTAATCATTCCTAAATAATACTCCGTATTATTTCAGGTCCGGTCCACCCAAAATTTCTGTATTGATATCATTCTTCTATTTGTCATTTTGGGGATTGCATCCTATTTGTACAAGTGAGTACCATGGTTTTTCAACCAGCAATTACACAGCTAAACAGAATTTGAAGTTGCCAAATGAGTTTCTTTTTTGGTAATAAAACCCATATTTTGTGTATGCAGTATATTACAATGATGCACATCGAGCTTCATGTTACCTTGTTTGGTCTATCATGGATGTTCAAGGTACCTAGCCTCTGAATGTGAACTCATATGAGATGATGTTTCTACTTGAGAATACAATGTTTTTGCGTTAACATACCTCGATTCATTATTGATTCTGGATTATTCAATTCTTGTTTTATATTCTGATTCTGAAAGTTACTGCCGCAATTCGTAAAATCATTTATATGTCAATGTAGATAAAACATTTATGGAGAATCAATTGCGACCCAATATTGCTACTTTGAAGATACATTGTTATATTGAAAGTTGTCCAAAGCCCTCCAACAAAACAAGCGCTGGGGAAGAGCTTTTGGTGCACTAAACAAAACTGGCTCCAAGATCCTCTTGTACTTTGTGTGGAGCAATATCTTAGGATACGAGATATTATGCAAGTGAGATGTTCTCCATCATTAAAATTTAATAAACATCAGCAAATTGTTACTTCTTACTTGTATATATAATATAACAAGTTGAAAATAGCACATGGGAAATTTCTAATTTAACAAATTACAGGCATCAGTGTTATGCGTGTGTACTTGAAAAGTATGCCTCATCTCTGGAGACCTTCAAGAATCCGGGATTTAGCTCAAGTATGCCCTTAAAATGTTTTCACTTAAACGGGTTTCAATTTTCAATAGGGGTGGATTCGGTTCGGGCCACTCGGCCCGTGACCCGGACCGGCCCGGTCTGGCGGTCCGGGACCGGGTGTAGACCCGAACCGGAGGGGATGGGCGGGGTGGGCTCGGTTCTGGCAAAAGACGACCCGGCCCGGCTGGGTCGGGCCCGGGTCCGGGTGTAACAGTCAATTTTTTTAAAAAAAAAATCTTTTGGGCCACAAAGAGCCGTTGGGAGTGGGCTGGGGACTACCCAAACGGCTATATAGCCGTTGGGTGGCCTGGCGGGGGGGGGGGGGGGGGGGTCAGTTTGGGGGTGGGGTGGGGGTGGGGTAAAAAAAACTATAAATACTCCTAATCTTAAACATTTTTTCATATCCTAATCCTAAATCCTACACTCTACTCTCTAATTATCTACTTCATATTCATCTTCTCAAATTCTCTTATTCTCCAATATATTATTATATCTACTTATATTATTTATCTACTTATAAATACATATATTTAAATTACTCATATTTCTTATCTACTTATATATTAATTATCTACTTATAAATACATATATTATATTAAGATGGAAGGTGGTAGATTTTCGGTTGATATGGGTAACCTCAACCGCACCCGAAGGAACGAGCTTGCGGCGAAGAGATCCCGCAAAGGTAAATTACATATCGGCTTTTCATCTCAAAGCCGAGATGATTTTGATACGGGTTACGCAAGGAGGGATGAGGATGTGATGACCGACGAACAACTAGAACAAGAATTGCACTGACATAATATCTGCTTTTTCCAAGACCAACCGAGGATTTAACCGGCCTGGCCAGGCGGGTGGCCCGACCCGTGACCCTGGCGGGTGGCCCGGCCCGAACAGGAACCGTCCAGACCTCGGGCCGGTCTCGGGCCCATCACTTACAAACCGGTGGCCCGACCGGGTCCGACCCGACCCGAATCCACCCCTAATTATTTTCAAATCAAATTTAGACAACCGTAAATATGCATACTAGAAACTTTTTATAGTAGACTATATAAGAAAATTTAAATTCAATTGAAAACATCTCTAGCCTGCCTGATTAGAACACTATAAAAATAGCACACACTTAATATGAAAGCACAAACAAGAAATTAGTGCCGAGTTTATGTGTATATGTTTGAACGAGAAAATATACATGTTGATATACGAACTTATGTACAAAACTATTTTCCATAATTTTTTTTTGTGTTTTCTCTGGGTGGTAAGCGATACAAATAGGGAAAAATTGAAAAATTGAATTTTGTATTTTTCTTACATTGCATTGGTACGGAAAACAAAACCTAGATAATTATTCAGAAGGGAAACCATTCAATCAATATCTACCGTCCGATTCTAACTCGGCACACAATATTCTGATGCACACCAACTTCACTTAACCGTGTGGCACAATCTCGACCCTTCGATACACAAACGTTACAACATAAACACAATTGAAGCCGCAACTCCAAGAACTGACCCCACCATGCCATGCACACCGACCGCAGCAGACGTATCCGTCGGCGAAGCATCTCCACCGGCGACCGGACCATCAGCCGCCGCTTTCGGCTTCTTTTTCGACTTGTTTGGGCCCTTTGGGGCGGGAGCTGCCGCCGGTGCCGGAGTTCCAAAGAGGCCGATAGGAAGAAGCACGGTATCGACCTGATACACTGCCAGCTGACCATCAGTGTAAATTGTATTAGCCACCGTGGAGTTGACCACTCCGGTGGTGACATTGACTTGATTCCCAGCCGAGGTGACGTTCAACGGGAAAGACCCGACGCTGTTTCCGGCTTGAGTCCTCAAAGGGTTACTCGCAGTCTGGAAGAGCGGTATTGTGTAGAAAGAGGACACAACATGAAACTGAACCAACTCAACCTTTTCTTGATCGGTTAAGGAATTCAAAGTTCCTGGTTTTAGCCCCAAGAAGGCGTTGTCGGTGGGGGCGAAAACCGTCAACCCCTGGTTGGTGGTGTTGAGCTGGTTGTTGATTTGATCACCGACTTGGGTGGTTTTGAGGAGGCGGATGAAGGTGGTGTACTGGCCCGCCTTCTCGAGGATTGCGGTTATATTGGTCGGACCGGCAGGGGCCGGTCCGGAGGCGGCCTGTGCTTGAACAATGTTTATGGTATAACAACATAGGAGAAGTGCGACTAGGAAGAAGGGAATGGAGACAACGAAAGACTTCATTTTTTTCTATGTTTTTTTTTTTGCTTTCGTTTCTTCAAGAATTTGAAGGAGAGGAAAGACTAATTAAAGGCGAGGTGGTGTTGTGCAATGTGCATGCGAAGATGGGGGAGATAGACTTATATGGAGAAGAAGGAATGAAAATATATGTTAGGTGGGCGGGAAAGTGGTGTACTGGCTGGCAAACGCAACCTTTCTTTCTCATCAACCAAGTTCGTTGAGGGGTCACAATTCAAGTTTCAATTATAGAATTATGCTTCTGCTTACTTATTAGTCAGCAAGATGGATGATCACTTTTGAGTCGTTTTACTTGGATGGGAAATTTACGATTGGATTGATCTTTTTAAAGTCTGGACTGATATGATCTCATGCGTTTAAAAGCATCTGAAATGTCACAATGTGTATGGTGCACATGTGGCTTGGGTGAGACATATACACAAATATTAGTAAACAAAATATCTATCTTCTTATTTGAACGATCTTATATGTTTTTTGTAACTTTTCTTCCATTATGTCAAGAAAAAATGTTTAAATGTATTGTAGACATTGTAGTTGACATTCTTGCCAAAATTATATAAAACAGTGAAAAGAAAGATTGATAAATCTCAATAATTTATTTGTATGTGTCTATCTCTCTCATGTCGCATGCACACTGTGCACATTGTTGCATCATCTAATTTATTTGGGAAAGTTCCCGAAATAGGACTAAAACATTTTGAAAATTCCAAAATAGGATTGTCATGTTTTTTATTCCCAAAATATGAGTAATTACTGCCAAGTTTTGAAAATAATGCCTTGTTTGAAGTCTGGTACTGCCAACATGGAAGTAATTAGTCCTATTTTGGGAATAAAAACATGACAGTCATATTTTGGAATTTTCAAACATTTTTAGTCCTATTTCGGGGAATATTCTCTTTATTTTAAGTTTATTTTACTATTCTTTGAGTTAAGTCGATCTGGTCTCCTAGTCAGATTTTTTTAAGTTTGATTCATTTAGCTAGGTTGGAACAAATTCAAGTATCTATTGAAAGGAGCAAGAACACATCTTATTGGGAATAAAAAATACGAGTGAAACATCACTCATTTGTTGAAATAGGTCTAAAAATCTAAAATACAACCTTTGGTCTTTAGTACACCAAAATACGAAGTATTTTCCGTGCTTATCTCTTAATGAGTAATTTCTTTACCAAAATGCGATCATACATAAAGCTAAGATACAATAATAATTGCTTGCAAATTGTTCATTCCTCATTTCCTTGTACTAATTTATGGGGAAAAAATTATTAAACCTGCATTAATTTATGTATTAATGCAAAAACATATACAGAGTAATATTTTCAGTGGCGGAGCAAGAAAAACGTGTGAGGGGTTGAAATTTAATTATATACGGTATCAAAATGAAGGATCATTTTTAAATAATACTTGAGTTAAATGTTGCATATGTAGCTGAGATAATTATCGAAATGAGTTACGGGACCCATAATATATCAAATCGAAGGTAATTCAAAGTTTTACATTCCCGAACTCTGAGCGGGGTCGGCTGACCACCCTGACACCCCTTGGCTCTGCCCCTGGTTTCTGTCATAAAGAGAGAAAGGATGCTCAATTATAATGTTTGTAGGTAATATAAATATATATAATGGGAGATTTCCCAAAATAGAAGTAAATGGAGTTTGAAATTCCAAAATAGGACCACTATGTTTTTACTCCCGAAATAGAACTAACATGTCTGTATTTACTATCATCTTGTAGGCGAGACTGCCAAATAGTTGCAGTACAATGCATTTAACATGACAACACTTATTATAAATAATGACAGTTTTTTCAATCATGCACTACAAAAAAACTCGCGTTTTGTCACGGATTTTTGTCACGGATTATGGCCGTGACAAAGTTGTCACGGGCTTTGTCACGGAAAAATGGGATTTGTCACGAATACGTTTTGTCACGGATAGGTCCGTGACAAAATCCGTGACAATTCTTTGTCACGGCTTTGGTCCGTGACAAATTTACTCCTGTGATTGGTTTTTTACTCCGGCCAAAACATTTTTTGCTCCCGGGCATTTTTCACGGACAGATCCGTGACAAATCCGTGACAAATTTAAAAAAAGATTGTCACAGAAGGATCCGTGACAAAATTCGTGACAAACTCTCTCACGGACCGCTGTCTGTGACAACAACTTTGTCACACCCCTGGTGTCACGGATTTGATCCGTGACAAAGTCCGTGACAAAAATCATTTGTCACAGATTTTTTGAACTACGGTCCGTGACAAAATCCGTGACAAATCAGATGTTTTTTTGTATTGATGGTAGTATTTTTCATACATAACAGTAATAACTCATATTTCGGGAAGCAAAACATACTAATTCTAATTTGCTCGAAAAGAAGGCATCAAGAACTTGAAATGTGTCCGACTTCCTCCCAAGTGGCCTGGGGGTGTGAAGATTTGCACATGCGAAATTTTATCTGATTATTTTACTGTAACTTGGGAGTTGGGACACATTTTTTGTTATGGTTTTCCTTATTTCCTTTCGCAAAAAAACATTAGATATACTCGACAAGCTTTAACTTAATAAATTATGGCATGATCAGTAGTTTACGTTTTCAGCTTATCAATCAAATTTATACCAAAAGTTAAAGTTTTGATGGCGTTGCATTTTGCAATGAGAAGCAAAATAAATAAGGTTTAAAACTACTTTTTGACTGAATTGATTGATTTTGACGTAAAAAGAGAAACTATTTTATTTCCTTTTTTAATTAATAATTAATAAATACGGAGTATATTCAAATGTATTGTTCTTCGTAATTACCTACAAGGTTCTACATTTTCATGGTTTTTCATGATTGTTTACTCACTGTATAGAAAGAACTTAAATTAAATTACTCAGTAACATTCAAGTTTTCTTTTATGAAATACTACCACCGCCCCTTAATATTGGAACTGAACGGAGTGGCGTGATTTTTTAAGAAAAATATAATTATGTGATTTATAATGAGTTGGTACAATGAAAATAAAGTAAGAATGAATTAGAATCACACAAATGTTTCCATATATTCATATATTACCATTTTTCTATCCAAAAATGAAAAAATAGGACAATTATATGAGGACGGTGGGTACTTTGTACTCCGTATATGTACTTTCTAGTCCACCGTGCCTTGACTTAAAGCATTTGATTGACAATATTGTTAACCGTTTCGATAGTACTACCTCCGTCCCAAATTGATTTCCAAATTTAAACTTTTCTTGGTCAAATAATTTCATTTTATTTGTTTAATTATGATGTCAATTTTTAATTATATTCTAATTTGGAGTTTACAACTTTGAAGAGATTTCAACTTAGTTTCTGAATATATAAATTTTAATTATTAAAAATTGAATTAATTACCGATTGGGAGCATTGGCTTTTTTTATTGGTTGACCAAAAAATGTTGAATTTGCAAAACAATTTGGGACGGAGGGAGTATGTATAAAGTACATGTTAACATTAAGAGTATTAACTGTTAAAATCTACATATTGGAATCAAATACTCGGTATGATACAAATTTATAATAAAATAGTAGAGTCAAACGTGAATATTTTATTAAAACTTTACATTGGTGGAGAGGAAGTACATAAGCGTTTGGAATGATTTAAAAACGTATGGACATCAAACTAGCCACCATTATTTTTAAAAAAGGATGACACCTCATCAATGAGGTCCCAACACCGACGATATAGTAAGTTGGGAGAATGTAAATTAGACTATAATCACAATGTGACAGATAGAGAGTGAGACTATGTTCCCGGCACTTGCAAAGACCCTATGAATTTTTAGTATAGTAAGCTCTCATCGCAAGTTGTCGGGATTCGAACACGAGACCTAACTTTTGTGGAATTCCCTCGCTACCGGTTGATCTAAGCCCACTGGTACCATTATTTTAAGAAGAGGAGGGTAAGTGTAACAAAAAATTCAATATGACATTACTGCAAGCAATTTTTAATTCATTATCTGTATAGGAACTTTCGGAAAACCTACAAACTCCAAGGGCTTAAATGGAGATATGGAGTGTCCAAATGCGGAAGTTACTGCTAAGTCAAGGAAATTGATGTCAATAGCTTAACTAACGTACCGTAAAAGTCAGCGATCTGTTGAATACAACATTTGTTTATATTTTTCCCCACCGACCGATTTAGTTTTCAATTAGATAATACGTCAAGATCTAGTTTTGTTTAGGACTGAAATTTGTTGAACTGGTCTAATCTGATCTGATCTGTTTGGTCTGAATTGGTCTAGTCTGGTCTGACAAACGTTTGGTCTCTGTGTATTTTATAACTACGAAAGTCAGGTTTAATCTGGTCTGGTTTGATCTGATCTGGTCTGATCTGAGACTGAAAACAGTCCAAAAGAAAACATAAGTTTGTAGATCTCAATGTTACTAGCTAGTAAGTACTTAAACTAATTTTTTTTTATCATGAACTCCAACCATTCTTATTAATCCAAACAATCATTTGCCAAAAAGCTTGCAATACAACCAGGTAACACATCATAACTACTATACTGATCTGGGAGACCTACATGTGCTCTTGCAATTGCATAAGTCACACGATTCGCAGACCGTTTACAAAAAGAGACAGAAAAAAGACTTTTTTTTCCAGAACTTCCCTAATATTATCAACAATAATATGTAAATAAGATGAGCCTCCCCCATTCTGAATACTCTTCGCACCCATCATAGCATCTGTTTCAAGCTCCACCCTCTCCCAACCTTCCTCAATAGCTCCATTTATAGCCTCCTTGATCCCTATTGCTTCTGTGACACCGCACCCGAACGTCTTTGAAATTCAAATTAAATTTCAAAGCTTATGTATTGAATTTCTCTATTATCGAACAATTGTAAAACGATTAAAGTTTTACGTAATGTGTGATTAATCATATTACTGTTTCGGCTCGTATAATAGTAACGGACTTCCAAATAATCAATTGGGTCATCTTATTGATATAGGGGCTCAACTTTTTTAAATAAAAATATATAACCCTTCGATACAAAGTAAGAACGGCCGGGCAACCCAAATATCATTTTGGGCCTAACCTGCTAAAAATAGCAAAATAATTTTGGGCCCAAATGTCTCTGTACTGATGTTCGGCCGTCCCTGAAACAGATTAGTAAAATAATTTTGGATCAT